CCGCTGCTTATTAACGGGTCCGTGAGCGTTAAATCGCACGCCTAAACTGCCGCCACGCTGAAATTGTTTCGGCGCAGTGGCCAGCACGTGGTGCGCCAACGTTAATTGTTGTTTCCACGTGTAATTTCGGGTCGACGACCACCCGGATAACGGTGCCGCGAAGCGTTCGAATTAAATCTTGGCGTGAGCACAGCGCGAGGCACCTGAAGATGAAGCCTAGAACCAGCTGCGTGGAACATTATCAGCAGAGAATCGCTCTATGATTTCATTCGCGGTTTCCTTCACCGGCGCTCACGGTGCTTAACAATCGAAATCTTTCTTTCTAAATTAAGAATAATAGGAGAGGAAGTTCTCGCTGATATATTCGACTCCAAAGAACGAAGCGAAGAAACAATTGCCGTTAAAATTAAGCGACGACGGTGAAATAGATTCCAAGTTTTCGAACAGTCGGAAAACCAGAAAATATTCGCGAAGCAGCTGGCTCGGACAATGCATCGTACCTCTACTTTGGTCTTAATGGACCCTCCGACCGGAAATTGCATGCGCCGGAAATCGCCTAGGTTCAACCGAATGCGTGAGGACGAATGCGAGAGACCTATCGGGTCGATCTACTCGTGCAAAGTGCCAAGTTGACTATTGTCGGAAATCTTTCCACTTATCTAAGTCGCGCGACGAATTATCTCTGCTCTGGGGAAAAAAAAGACAGCAATCCATTCTGAGGCCCACAATTGCCAATCGAATTATTTGGATTGTTCGTAACTCTAGTCTGGAAGAAATTTTAACCGTTTTTTGTAGTTAAGCAATTTAACATTTCGATTAGTGCCTCTTGAGTGAAAATTATCTTTGCGTTACTGAATATCGACGGAACTAATTGAGAGAATTGATTAGTATTACTAAAAAATCTTGGATATAGATAGAATAGCTAATTGCTATTTTTAGTTACGCGGGGTAAAATCCTTAAAAGATTAGAGTGGTTACGGACAGTCCAAATAATTCCATTGCTAGTTGTGGGCCCCAAAATGGGTTGTCAGCTGCCTTTTTTTTCCCCCAGAGTGTAAGCCGGATTTAACGATGCGACGTAACACGTCGATGCATTGTTAAGTCGCTCTAATATTTTAATTGAGCCTCTAGATTTCTAGAAATACGAAAGATGAATTTACTCCGACGGCTCGAACTGGTACGATAAAGGTGTAAGAGATAAGCGGAACCTAAAAATAACGTAAATATCTGTACGTGCGTCTATCTGAGGCTAATCAAGTTACTTTTATTTAACGATTGTGTTCTGAGATAGCGAAGGATCGCCCGTGTATGTACAACCTTATCATTTGCTTAGCTGCGTCATTGTTTATGGATGGGATAAATAACCGCGAGAGGAAACGCCGTATTATTTCTCTTGCGAGGGAAGTACGCGAGAAAGACGCGCGTTTCTGCGCTCTTCTGAAATCGCCGTGATTTCAGTATTCGATCACCGCTTGATTTGCCGTTTCCGCCGATCAAGTTAGAGTGTCCTTGTTTCGATACGAGCGAACTTGTACGACTCGGCAAGGAGCTGCCCGGCCAGCCACCGCGCGGTAAATGGAATTAATGGCGTTGGAATGATAAGTGACGCCGTGGCTGAATCTGATTTGATTACTAAGTATTTGCCGTCCGGTAGTATAATAGTGACCTAACGCTGCCAATTGTTGTTTCTGTAGACACCGTTGAGCAAACAAAACGACTCGTTTGGTCAATGCTCTCGCTTCCCGATTATATCATCCTTGAAAGCTAAATGTGCCTCTAGAGGACACCCTCGAAAAAAAAATCAACTGACCCTCGGGCGTCGCGTTTATTATTTTATTCTTAGGGATAGGATCGTGATATCGTACCGTCGACTTGATTCATCGACACCAGTCACTTTGCTGTCCGTCAATTGCCGAGGACACTGAGTATATTTTACTCTGTGCGTCACGCCTACGCTTAACGGCAGGCGTTTATCGAACGAATCAGAACCGCCCTCAATGATTTCGAAGTTGTCTGAAATTACGGTAAAACTCACGAAAGAATCGTATTAATTACATCTTGTACGAACAAGTATGATATGACTAATGAATTAAATACACGGAAAGAATTTTCTCTTAAAATTTATTCCGAAAATTATGTGATTGTGGGACAACGTGGCATTTTGAAGAACTTTATCAGTTTTTTGCAATTTTACCATATTTCATGGACACCATGACTCGAGTGAAAATTTCACTCCGAAAATTTTAGAGAGTACATTTTACTTAAAAATTTAGAGAGTATACTAAGTATAATTACTAGTAAAATGTATGATAAAATTTCAAAGAACTCTCATCAAATTTTTCGAAATGCCATGTGTCCCACGATTACACAATTTTCAGGATAAATTTTAAAAGAGAATTCTTTCCGCGTAGCTACATTAAAATATTGATCTAAGAGTTAAAATTTCTGCGCACGGCGAATTTTTCAATGCAACATAGAATGTCGATTTGACGATGATTTACGTTAATCCGACATTATTTTTATCGTTGTCTTTAGATAATAAATAAATGCTTCTAATATATAGATCGATTTATTCGTCGTTTCCAATTGAATTTAGTTTGTTATTTAATGAAGAAATGACGCGAGAAAAAATGCGTGTGATATTCGGTAGCGTCGCCGATTATTTGAAGCGCGTTAAACGGGCCAGTCCGAAGACCGTGGTAGTGAATGGCGACAAAGCAATGAAACGAAACGATTTAATAAGATCCTTAGACAGTGCGTCGGGTTACTGCGAGAGAGAGAGAAGGCAGTGCTGTGAATGCCCCTTAAAACTGGTTTCCGTTGCGTCTCTATGCGAGCGGTTGATCGTAGCGTAGATAGAGAATAGGCTTACTCCAGTTTGTGGTCGAGAAGCGTACGAGAAATTCAATCTTCCTTTCCGAGGAAAAATTCTAGATTATCAGCTCTGCACATTACATTGCAGCTTTAAATCGACACTGTTACTTTGATTATTTTTCATAGCTTGGTCTTATCGTTCTGGTGACGTATCAAATCATTTTTCGAAAGTTTTCGCTTTGAACGGAAACTGCAATTTTTAATATTATGTAATATATCGGACATGTTTCCGCGAGCGATGTTATCATTAATCTTTTGCGATAAAAGCAATTTTCTACGTCAGAAACTGATATAATGTACCATCTTATTTAAAGATTTACCGTGCTACGCATCGTAAGATTTATGCTTGAAACTAAATCGAATTACGCACCGTAATGCGCAACGTATACCATAGAAATCCGCACAACAATCGGGCGTTGCGCGCACTCGGATCTGTCTTAAAATCTCAAAATCAACGAGATACGCCACTCTACATTTCTCGGTGCTGCACTCGAACAAGTTATCGCTACTGACAGTTGCGCGCGATAGTTTTATCACGTTTTCTATCCAAGTCTCTCTTGTCGAAAACTTGGCGTGAATTACGAAGCGCGGAGCGTAATACGCCGTTGCAACGGATGGTATCCAGCTGAGTGCAGCTGACAACGAGAGCGGCAAGTGGAGCTACGGCTGCCGCACGTTGCTGCTGTGCAGAAACGTGGCAAGTACAAGTTACAGCCTGTTCCGTACTTACGCAGGGACGGACTTAAGACCAGAGGCGTGTCCCACCGTTCTTCCAACGTTTCTATTATATTCTCAAAATTGTTTCATTTCTATTATAAATACGGAACTACCGTTAGCAGGTGCAATTGTAACGGAAATATAAAGGAGGACGTGTGCTCTCGTAGTTCCAGAAATAATACAGTACCGGCCAATAATACATCACCTTTCGATTCTTAATCTTACCTAATTTTTAAGTGCTCGAATGAAAAATTCGAAAATCACTATGTACTTTGTCAAACTTCATTACCTTTCGTGTACGAAATGTATGTACCTGTTATCAGGTGACTACTGTAAAATTTCGAGCACATTCGGTGCACTTCGACGGAAGTTATGCTCAGAAAACCTAAAGGTGATATACTTTTGGCCGGTACAGTACATGTACCTGTCAATGTTACAATTAATCAGAAAAAGATCGCCATTCTCGGCCGGGCTGCACCTTTGTAGTTTAACAATAATACTTCTGCGTTATTTTATAATCGGCGCAGTTTACCGAGTTGGGGGGAAAGTATATTCAAAATTCACGCGGAAATTGTTATCAAGCTATCGAGGTCCAAATCGAGAAGGGCATCTTCTCTCAATGAATTGTAAGATTCTTGTCTCACTAAGGTACGTCTTTTTCTCTTGTCGCGAGTAAACGAGATTTTTCTTAGCTACCGTAGACCTCGTACGAGGAAAGGTTTAAACTGATATTAATTCGCAGTTATTTGAATGTTAGCATGCACTTGCGTGCGCTCGCACAGATCGGGCGTGTTCGTGCACGCGATTCCCACCGTCTTCACGGGCCAATGATTTATATGCTAATCCCGCGTGGAAGGCGAATCCGAGACTCCGGCAAACTTTCACTGCCGTGCGTTAAAAAATCCCTTCCGACCGCGACACGTCGAAATAAACGATTTCGCGTAATTCGCGAAATCGCATGTCGTCGCGTATAGCAGCACGCGAAAGGCAATCTCTCTCTTTGATAATTTTAGAAAGCCACGTATTCGGGCTTTCTTCACCGGGCGCTTACTTCGCCTCGGTGGCGATCATTGATGTCTCACGATACTAACGAGACTATTACTTTTCTAACACGACAAGAATAAAACGGAGACTCGGCACTTTTATTCTTCAGCGTTGTTTGTCGTGTCTCGTGAGCTTTCTTAACTTTTAGTGAAGAACGCACCGATATAAAAGAGATATAGAATTTATACTCAAAGATCGTATGCCGCCGTTAAGATCGAAAATTATCTTTCTTCCGAGGAATGCGATGAGAAAGATGAGAGGCATATAATCTGGATAATCGACGCCTTCCCTTTGATATTTTTCGAAGTACACGAATGCAAAATGATCGCGCCGGCGGCAAGTTTAGAACGTGTTCTCGCATTCACCTCTTCCTTGGAGAAGACGCATTTGATGTTGACCCAGCGATGCGCCATGACGGTGCAGTTACAGCCGTTCTTGACGCATATCCCCGGCGTGGTGGCCTCGATGCACAGTAGGAACGCGAGATACCAGAGGAACACCGAGCATACGATCGCACGATCACACTTAACAAGCCCGTCCAGGGCGCTGAACACTCTTCGCTTGACGCTCATTGCGACGATCCCCGATCGAGCGGTCAGATCATCACCAGCCGATCAGCCTCGATTCCCCGTCTCTCTCATAACGATTCGATGCAACTCGCGTTGCCGAAGGACGCACTCGCGCGGAGCGGGGACCCTCATCGATTCATTCCGCCGATCGATCGGAGGGCACTGGCGAGTATCACCCACTCGTATTCCTTATCCACTTTAACTTGCCCCATCGATTGATTCCGCGCCCGGACGGGGAGGGAGGCTCATCTACTCCGCTTACCGATCTTTAACGATCGACATTCCACGCCACGTGGAAGAAGCCTATCTCGAGCCGGACCGTCCCGATACGCGCGCGGTCGGCTCGTTGCCGAAGAGAACGAGGAAGAGGAGGCGAGGCTGTGGAACGACTTAGAGGCCAGCTGACGCGATCATGACGGAGGTTGCTTTTAAACTGTGTTGTAGCCGGTGGCATGCACGATCGGTGTCTGCTCCCCACCATAGATCCATGTGGCTCGACTACTCGCCTTGCCACTCGCTCTCTCCGTCTCTCACCGCGCGTCCTCCCTCTTCGGCCTTCGGAAAGATAAACGCCAGGACTCGTCATCGGACTCGAGAACTCGGGACGGACGTCGGTGCCGTCTTCGGGTTCCGATCGGTCTCCGCCATGTCCGCCAAACGGGAATCGACATCGGAGTCTCGCGAGAGCGCGCTTGTCGATTTTCGAACGCGTTGGCACCATCGGCGCGCACCTGCGAAGACGACCTTGACCAACTTACAATCCTCGGCTACGTCGATGACCCACGTTCGTCACGGATGCTAATTGCGTAAACCGTGTTCAGAGCTCGTAAATCGTAGTCAATGGGTTGCCATTCCCATAAAAGATGATTGTTTCGTTGTTATAAATCGTTGTCGAACGTGGAAAGCACTTATACTAACATTGCAACGCGTTACGAAACCTTTAAGATATTAGTTATCTACAGGCTTACTGACTGAAGACGTTGAGAGATAATATTGCCAAGCCGAGTTAACCATTACATTATTCGTTCAAAAATGTGCGCTTCCCTTCGGTACCTACGACAGGCCCGATTTTACATTTTCTGGTTAACTGTTAACCAGGGGTTAGTCGACTCTTCGCCTTTTTCTATATTATTATCTAAGAAGAGAAAGATAATCGATTAATCTCTGGCCAACATTTAACCAGCAAATGAAATACCGAGCCCCATAAGGTGTTCCCATTTCCTTGTCAGTACTACTGGCAGTACTCTCGACAGTCTCGAGCATTCAGTATTAAAGAAAAAAGGTGTGGATGGTTGCATTTCGGAAAGAATAACTGCTACGTTATTACCGAGGGGTAAACCGCTGAGGGCATTGTGGTGTACAGATTTACGGTATTGCTGGGCATTACTAGGCACCTTTTGGACACTAGGCCTGGGTGGGGCATTATAAAAATAAAATAAGATAAGATTAAGTAACGCCCACTAGGCATTAATGGGCATTGGCGTACAAGATTTTGGTTAGCGGTTTTCCCCTCGGTTATTACGGAGGATACTGAGATCTCGCTTGGGAATGATTTTCTCAGAAGCTAAATTCAGTACTGACAGTAGTACTGAGAAAAAATGAGAACACATCCGTTCACTACTGCTCGTGGTTACTCGAGCGACTTGGAGAGTTAAAAAAATAGAGGGTTACATCCGGGAAAAGTAATATTTATCGATGAAAACATCGTAAGTTTAGCTGTCAAAGTCTCCCAATCAGACACACACAATACAAGTCAAAAGTCACACCAACGATAATACAAAACGTTTGTAATAATATGAAACTCATACAAGATGCATTCTTTGCTTTGATTACCGCTTCTGTTGAATTACTTGCATCGTTTCTCGCTGATATTTTATTCTTTTGTAATTTCTTCAGCGTATCTTCTTCATGGAAAACGTAGATTTTAATAAGTAAAATAATAACGTGATATTGACTGAAGAACAATTGGAGATAGATTCGTTAAACGTTGTTTAATTCACATTTAATGTATACACGTACAATTACAACTAATATACTGTAAAAACAGTTCATTATTCTAATAAAATGTTATCCGTGCTAACAATAATATGAGATATCGGGGAAGTAAGTATAAAATGTCCGCCGTTGAAGTAACTATGAGCAGTAGTGTGTATCATATGGTACTGGACAGAAATAGAATTTCTATTTTCGGGACACTATCAAACTTACTATCTAAGGGATTTCAAAGTTACCGAGAACTTTCAACTTTAATACGTAAAGTTTCGCCAAGTCGCTGAAAAATTCCGAAACTTGGCGTACAAGTTGCCGCAAGTGAAATCGAGGGAGAACTGTTATCCACAGGTACAGAATATCCGGCGCCGATTTTTGCGCGGGCGTCCGCGTGATTTTCCCGCGATCCGGCGGGCGCCGGTAATCTCCGCGATTATGCGTTTCTTGCCGGGAGCGAGGGAAGATACGGTGCACGCGACAAAAAGCGGGCGCGAGCCATCGTCGTCGACGGCGGCGCCGGAAGTGCGCGGCAACGGGGTAGAGCGCGGCGCCGTAAAAACGGAGACAGCCTGGCCCTGGAAGAACGGCCCTGTCCGTCACCCTCGTCGCTCTTCAGGGTAGCGTTTTCCCTAAAATGCGCTCCTGCCCTCGTAGCTCTCCGGTTTATGAGCGGAAACCCGAGCATTTAATTTCCCATGAGAAATTGCACGTGCTCCCCCGGCCCCGCGTGCACGTCCGACGTCGTCCATTCATTCATAACGCGTGCCTCAAACGCGAGAGGAACGCGGCGACGGCGACGTCGTCCGCGAAGTGCCCATTTCCGAAATGGTCACGTACCGGCTGTACGTCACGCGGATACCGATCTTTAAAGCCGCACACTCCCGATCCTCCTGGTCCCGGACCTGCGATCTCTCGCGTATTATGCCGGCTCGTCCTCCTCTGGCGTCTATTATCTTTGGCGTGCCGCTCGTTCATCTTTTTCGCCGTGACTATGATCGATGGCGAGAGCGCCCTGCTTCCACGGCGTTTATATCTGACTGAGCGAAAATTACATTCGTTACATGGTTTGATACCGCAGACCACGAAGGTCCCGGGTACCTCGTCGTCGTGACTCGAGGTATTATCGGAGTTTAACGCCTCCTGACCTGAGGCGAGATCTGTTGGAACGTTCCCAAAATTGATTATACAAATCAGTTTAAATGAAATAGAATAACTTCGAAGGTAGCTCGAGAAGGGCAGCGGAAACAAGTCTCTCTGAATCGCATACTCCTCTCCGTTTTATTCACCTCGATAATAGTTCGGATTTTAAAACTCTATATACAAAAGTATGTTAAAAGCTCAAGGAACCATCCACAGTCATGCGGGAACAATTCGTCGAACAAGCAGACTTTATTCATAACAAATACAGGTCTGAGAAAAGCAACCAATGCTTGCCACGTTGGAGTTTAATTAACCAGGTTCTTGCTTGTCGCGTTTGACGCATCGTAGATTCATCGAGGCGGCCGAGTCATCGCGGAAAACTGTCGAGGTTCGCCGTTAATTTTTATTGGACCCTTATTTTTCACGCGGAGATACCGTAATGACCGAAGGTCCCTTCTCGCCTAGGCCTCTCGCGCGTGCAATTTTCCCAGAATACCGGTTCTCTCAATGGATAAAAAAGAAAAATGCGGAGTCGACTCTACTGTACATAGGCAGAGAAGCGCGGATCACGTCGACGGGACCCGCGGAGAGGAGAACCGCGGTGTGTGATTGCGCCTTATTAGGGATGAGCCCGACGAGTCCGAGCGATGGGGAAGCGACGATTGTCTGCTCGGCGGAGGAGCATCGTCCTCTATTTCGCGATTCACCCGGACGGGATCCGCGATATCAGGCACCGACCAATTAGGGGCATCGCGATTCTCAAACTCGTTTTAACGAACCGTACTCGCGCCCGTCCCCTGCGTACGTGACGGGATCGAGATTGCGTGTAATAAATATGAGCCCTCGTGAACTCTTTCGCGAAGTTTATACTTCGATATATATATCTCTCTCTCAGACTCAACGATCATCCGAATATTCTTATAGCGAACCTAATGAAACATTCTCCTGGTACGAGGAGACTGAAGGGAAAAACACCAACAGATTTTATATCGCAGATTATAACAATATTTAGCAGAAATTCTCGGCTCGCCACTCTTGTACGCGTAATTTGAGATCATTATTGCTTTAATCAGAACGTAGAAGAAAGGTTTTCAATGTCCAAATTCAATCGCAAATCTTTTTTCGCAACGATTACACGATCTAACAATCATTTTTCCACCAAACAGATTTCACTCCAAGGACAATAAATTCATGGTGGAACCAACAGAGACGATGCCTATTAATTTAGCAGAAACTCCGCTATCTCATAATAGGGGACTTTTTTCCCTACGATTAATGAATATATGGTTAATTTGACATGCAGTGACACTTGGTGTATTCAGAATTGAAAGCTTTTTGTGTTTTTATCAGATTTTTGTGGAGCTTTCGCAAAGCGGCCAAAGCTCATAAATCTTCTCTTGCGTATGAAATAAATTCCGAACTGCAATACGAATAGTAGGACAGACTCAATCAGAGTTTAAACAGAGTTGCGGCTGCGTATACAGATCTAACGATATAAAAGATACATTCGTAACAAAGAGAGAGAGAGAGATAGAGAAGGGAGGACATTTTTCCAATCTTGCTGAAATTCCGCACGCGTGTTGTTTTCAGTTGTCATTCGAACGAACGTCTATTCCTGCGCGATTTCGTCTCCTGCTCGGCGGGCACCAGCGGCGGCAGACTCGCGCGATGGCTGCAACCGGACAGTTTCGTGGATCCCTCTCAAAGCGAGGCGTTGTATTCGCGAGAAGAAATGAGATGCGGATGGCCGGCCATCGTCACCGTACTCACGAGAGATCAATACGGCGAAGTGGTGCACGTGCCCGGATTGAAGGTATCTCCTCCTCGGAGCATCGCGATGCGAAGCGCGGCGTCGGTGAGTTGTAAGATACACGTAGGAACGCAAATGGTGCTTGCAGATCGAAGTGAAGGCGGTGCCGATCGACAAGACGGACATCACGGATTCCGACCAGAGCAGAAAGATCCGTCGTGTCTCTCAACCTGACCCGATGACATTCGGCGGTCATCCGCAGCCGTCCCTGGACGTTCCGTACGAGGTGACCATCAACAACAAAATGTGCTTCTACGCCATCACCATCATGAAGACCTATCAGAATTACTCGTTCGAGGAACTGCGGTTCATGTCACCCGCCGTGAAGAGGTCGAGCGAGAGTATGCTGGTCAGGCCTAACGGCGATGGGAGCTACAGCGCCACGTGGACACCATCCTCCGTGGGCTGGTACTCGCTCATGATCACGGTGGATGGTTACAGCATGGAGAATGTGCGTAGATGATTTAACTCCCGCGGACACTCGCGATAGTCAGGGCTGATTCAATTCTAATTTCTGCTTTTGTAGTCGGAAGTAAGCTAAAGAAACAGGCTTTAAATAATCC